CCCATATGCTGCTCTTCTATTGGGGTCACAGGCATCAATTCACTTTTTTGAAGGTTAACCTTGTAACCAGATATGTTTCCAAACTTTTGAAGTAAAAGAAGTAACTCAGGAAYACTAGACAAGGGATCTGAGATATAAAGAAGAGTATCATCAGCGTAAAGGAAACTTTAGGTTCAGTGCCATACCGATTGATACCTTTAATCTTAGGGTTGTTCCGCAAAGCCACTGCGAGTGGTTCAATCGCGATTGCGAACAAGAGTGGCGAGAGTGGGCACCMCTGCCTCGTTCCACGTTCCAATTCAAAATAGCTRGATAGATTACTGTTAGTGCGTACTGCTGCCATTGGCAAGGTATATATCAGCTTCACCCATGAAACAAATTTAGGGCCGAAGTTAAACATCTCCAAGGTCTTAAAATGATAGTTCCACTCCACCCGGTCAAACGCTTTCTCGGCGTCCAGCGAGATTAAAATCTCATTGCAATTGTGACCAGGTGGAGCAGAAGTATACAGCACATTAAACAACCACCTGATGTTAAAGAAGGATTGACAATTTTTAATAAAACCGATCTGGTCAGGTGAAACAATTGTGGGGATAATTTGTCCATGCCCTTTTTAAACTTGTAATTTATTGAAATTAATTATGAACATTTGTTTAACCTCAAAATACAGTTTTCAAATTAAATGTTGCTGAAACAGCAAGTTTCTCAGTGGATCTGCGCTCAAAAATGCAGCCTAGGTGGTGTAGTCAAACACAGATCCACTGATCCTTCAACACAGAGCATCTTCAGAAGACAAGTTGATAAAGTAAATTTTAAAAATCTGTATTGTTTGATACAAGTGTGTATTGAACCTAAAGCACTGTATTGAACAGTTCGATACGGGTACATTTATTGTTGCACCCCTATGTATTAGGGGCTGTGAGAGGTTGAAAGCTGATTATCTTAAGGGGTAGGAGTTTTCACTCCCACCCCCCCAGCCCCCGGGGCCCGGATACTGGTGGTCGTTGAAGGAGAGGGAGACACCTGGAAGGTAGGAGATGAAGGATGGAGAAGGGGAGGTGGTAGGTTGACATTCAACTGGTGAGCAGCTGGAGCAACTGAGAAGGACACTTTTATCTCAGACTGCTGGATCTAGATTGGATGAGGCTGAGCGAGTGGTGACGGAGCTGGATGAGCTAGGTGAGGGTCATTAGTCTTCCAGAGTTGAATTTACGTCAAAAACTCCAAATAACAAATGATGTGGGATATATACATAATTTTTTTTGTTCCACTCTTGGAGGAGTAAGATGCTTTTTCCTTCTCTCCTGCCCTTCCTTGTCTTCCCTGCTTTACGGCTTTGGAGCCTTCTCTACATTTTTCCATTCAAAACCAGAAATCATGGATAGTTTTCTTTTTATGGATTTGGTTAGCTGGTCTACTAATAAATTTTTTGGAACAAAGTTTTTTCTTCCATGGGAGGACATGTCAAAGGTGGGACCTCTGTTCTGCTCTGTCAGGATATGTATCTGGATTCCGATCACTGGTTTCTACAGATTGGCTTGGTGGTCGCCCAGTGTTCTACAAAACAGCGTCAGTGTCTGTTCATTTCCTGGTTGCCTGACCAATATGAAGGATTGCTGTTCTATCAGCACTCGGACATTTGCCTTGAGCGAGCTGGACTCAGTCTGCAAGCGGTTCTGCTGAGGGTCGCGGGCCGGCTGTGGTTCCTGGACTTTGCTGGCCAGATGGAATTGATCTTGAAGAAAAATGATAGCTCGGCTAAGCGGAATTTGTCCACACAATTTGTCTGATTGGATTCGCTACCTTGAGATGTACCAGCGGACATTAAAGCAGATGGAAAATTGTTATTGTCTGCCTGGCTCTTCTGTTCCCAAAACAACTGATTACAGATTTGGCTCTCCTACATAGCCTTGAGCTGTTGGACTACATTCTTCCTGGATGGTTACGTCGACTGAGGGTCTGCCCCCCTTCCCCACATACATGCGTACGTGCGGGGCCATGTATGCTAACACTGTGCAGTATCTATTTTTTTTTACAACAGACCAAAAGTGCACCCCCAACACTGCAGAGTGAGCCCCAGGACTGCTATTTTCCTCTGATCACTCATGAACAAGATTTTTAAATACTTGAACTCCTCTACTTGGGTCACGGATTATGCCCAAGATATTCCACCTTTGTCTGGTTGAAAATAATGACAGTAGACTTAAAGAAGAACAGAAAGAAGGAAAGAAGGGAGTGAACATGACTATACGTTGATGATCTGGACACAGCTCTAGACTTGGTTATGTATTTAGGGACGAGTTAGTTCTTAAGTGACCCTGGTCCTCTATAGTTTAGCTGCAACAYCCCTACAGAAGGCTTTGAGGAAACTTCAACATACAGAAGCCATATTCCTCAAAGTGTGAGCCTTCTTTAAATCCACAAAACGCATCAAGACTGAAGAGTCCAACTCCCATGACTCCTTCAGCAAGGGTGAGGTGATATGGCGTAACTCAGTATCATCATGGAAACACATTTCACGACTACAAGGAAAACAGGCTGTGKTTGTGACTGCAGCCAGCAGCATAGTGTTCTAACTGAAGCTTTTTCACCTCAGCATTATTTATACAGCTAATCAGAAAGTATTTGATTCTTTGCAGGTTTGTTTTGACAAGTTACAGTCTGGTCTGTGGTTAAACCAAATTACCAATCACCTTACACTTTTTTTATTGTTTAGGCCTAAACTGTTTTTATATTTAAAGCTTTACCCTGCTGTGCAGTAACTTCAACTTTTTATTTAGGCTGAATGGACAAAACACTATAACATTACAGACATCAAAATACTACCAAAAAAAATTGGCAACTTTTTAACAAAATATGTTTTTTATTTATTTATTTTTTTTACAGAGGGTGCAACACAATATTATCCAGGATAGGAAGACTTTTCACTTTTTGTGAGACTATGAAACCCTAGTTTTTATTTCCTCACTGTTCATGTCTAAACCTAATCCATAATTTAAGGTGTTAAAATGAACCAAACAACTATTGGAGTAACAAATTTACTTTACATTGTGTTACATTTACTCAGTTGACTGCCATCTCAATTACTATAGTATAAGTGATTCAAAACACACACACACACACACACACACACACACACACACACACACACACACACACA